GAAAGGCAGGTCATGACCTAGCAGTGCGCACAGGAGCAGGGGCTCCAGGCTGTGACCCTGTGCCAGGAGGGCAGGAGCCACTTGGACCAGCCCGCTGCTGTGCCCCTGTGCCAGGAGGGCAGGAGCCACTTGGACCAGCCCGCTGCAGCAGACTTCCAATGGCATGAGTGTCACGTCCAGCTTCTCTCCCCGACCCTGGGACACGTCCGGGGCCTCTAGGGTCAAGACTAAGCACCGGATCCTGTCCCTTTCCCTCCTTCTCCTGATGCACAGGGAGCAGCCCTCCAGGGCACCCCACGTCAGCATGTAATGGCCCTGGTGGTCACAAATGGGCAGGCTCTTTGGAAGGTTCTAAAGCGGCACACACTGGGTAATACAAACGGCCAGCAGAAAGGCCCTGGTCCAGATGTTTACAGCACCACATATCTCAAGACCCACTCACCCAGCACCAAGGGAGAGATGTCTGGACAACATGCTGGGGGGTGGGCGAGGTTGCAGCTGCTGAGCCCACCTCACAGGAGGGGTGTGGTTAGTCGCCATGCTGCCCTGTCACAGCAGGAGGTAGGAGCATGCAGGGGACCTGTGGTGCCCCATTGTGGCTGCTCCACCCAGCTGTTACCACAGAGCTGTGGGCCTGGGGACACAGGCACAGGACAGCCTCGCCAAGAGGGCAGCACATCGGGGCTCAGGACAGGCAGTGGACTGTGCGCCTGCCCTCACCAGGGTGCGTAGAACTCCAGCAGCACCGTGTCCTTGTCGGCCACGAAGGTGTCGAAGTTGGCATCATTCAAGACCACGACCCCGTTTTCCTCCTTCACCTCCGAGGCGTCCTCCTCGTCCTCCTCATCCTCGTCCTCGATGGCATCGTCTTCGTCTAGGCTGAAAGAATCTGAATGGAGATGCCAGAGGTGAGTTAGCGGGAGCTGCCCCCACAGCTCTGGGGGCCCAGCGCCACACTCACCAGGAGCAGTGAGGGTCCTCCTCCTGAAGGGCTTCCCTACCCAGGACCAGTCAAGTCCACCACCTCACACCTGGCTCAGCATCTGAACTGCAGATCCTCCCTGGGTCAAGGAAGGCCACGAGGGGCCCAGACTCCCAGACAAGGCAACTCATTACAACTTTGGAAGCTAGAGGAGGGGCCCAAAGCCCAGCTCTGAGCCTGTGGTTTGACACACTCCAGGTGCACCCCATTTCTTTTCTGCAGTCCCCATCATCACCTCCAGGTGGGAGCCTTTCCAGTCAGAATTAGGGTCTGCAGAGCCAGACACACCAACCAAAGTTTCCCCCAGGATGGGCCCGCTGAGGGCCAGCACCGAGGCCTGGCTGGACTTTCCCATCACGGACCTGTAGCTCTTAACTGGCACCTACCTGGCCATAGTCCCAACACCCTGCACAGGCTGGGCGCATGGCCCGGGGGTCAAGGGTTACTATGTCTGGACTGTTCCCAGGACAGGAGTCAACACTGCTCCCCTCAACAGGGCTGAGGATGAGGTGAGGGCCTGTGGCCTCCTTTCAAGGTGGTGGAGGTGCTGAGAAGAGGTGGGAATGGGGCAACCAGCACCTAACTCAAGCTAGCTTGAGTTCTGCTGAGGCCCAGACAGGGCTGTGCTGTGAGAATCTAAAATGTGAGCGAATCGTACACACACCCAAACAAGGGAAAACTTAGAACATCAGGTGTGTGCTGGAGTGGGGTGGGGAGGGGCAGTGTGAGGAACCCCCAAAAGGTCCTGGTTGTGTTGATTTCCTGCTCTGAGGTGGGGAGATGGGAATGGCCCAGCAGCCCCACTCCTGAGGGTACCCCTGTGAGTGCCCCACAGCAGGGACTGTATCCTGGTTTGTAGGTCTCCCCATCCTCAGGCCTTTCAGGAACCCCTAAAGCTGGGAGCATCTGCTTCTGCAATCTACCGGTCGTTTAGGGTGGCAAAGAGTTGGAGCAGACTCTGGATGTGTGTATGGTGCCTTTATTATGTCAGTGAGCTCCTAACAGAGTAGGGACAAGGTGGCGGCTAACCACCAACCAGGTCAGCAGGTCCAAACCACCACGGGAGAAAGATGGGGGTCTCTGCTCCCACAAAAACGACTTGCTGCGATGAAACCCAGAAGAGCAGAACGACTGTCCTGAGAAGGCTGTGGCAACAAGTTCGGTTTGGGGTCAGTAAAGAGCACATACGAAACCAAGCACTTCTGAGACAGGGGCAGCAGACACTTTTGGGTGGGGAGCGCAGGGTGCCCCGCCCCCCAGCCAGTGCCCTGAACCAGGGCATCTGAGAGTAAATATCTGTTCTTCAGAGCCGCCCACACGTGGCATTGTGTTCCAGCAGCGCTGAGTGGCAGGCGCCAGTTGACGGGACCCAAACCCACACAAGTCAGAGCTGTGTTCTCAAGGGGACCCCACCCCAACGGGTCTCAAATATTTACTTCTCTTCTTATTCTGCCAGTCACTTGAAACGCAGCCCGGCCCTCAGGGACCGGCACTGAAACGTCCCAAGTGACCAGGTGTCCCAGGTCCTGAAACTGCTGTGGGTAACACCGCCGGACAGGTGTTTTCCCAGTGCATGTCTCCCTTGGGGCACACATCTGGGCTAGTGGCCTGCAGGCTAGTTAATCAGCCTGTTTGCTGAACACAGCGGACGAGGGGACGAAACGGTAGCGTGGCGAGGGGCGCCAGGGCGGCCACCTGGTGGGCTTTCAGCAGTGCCTCCGTCGACGTTTAACCCAGGTCCCAGCCGGCTCGCGTCCACTCGGCGGGGTGCAGCCCGGCCTGTCCACGCGCACTCCACGGCCAGAGAAGGCAGCCCGTCTGGAAGCCGCTCACCTGCGGGCCCACCTGCGCGCCCCGCCCACAGTTGTCCTCACCTGCGCTTGGCTCATGCGCGCACGCCACGGCCAGTAGCTGCGCTAACGACAGGAGCAGGAGGAGAAGGCGCGCGTTCCGTGGCTGCATGGCGACGGCTGCCCGGCTTCCGACGCTCTGCCCGCGAACGCTGCTACGCCCCCCGCGGCCGCACTTCCTCTTCTGCAGCCGGAGCGTGAGGTGCCCACAACCGATTGGCTGCGCTTGCACCGCCAATCACCGGTTGCCACTCGGATCGCGGGGAACGCACGCGCAGAGGGGGAGCTGCGCAAAGAAGGACCGCGGGGCGGACCGACAGGGGCGGGGCCGGCAGACTCTTCGGCCGCTATTGGCCAGAGAGGGGGCGGGGGGTGGGACGCCGGGAGACGATCCGGGGCGCCATTGGCTCGTAGTGTGATGGGCGGGGCTGGGAGAATCCTGGTGGCTCCATTGGCCAGAGAAGGGGCGGGGTTGCGTCGGGAGACGACCTGGGGCACTATTGGCTGCTTGTGTGGTGGGCGAGGCTGAGAGGAGCCATTAGCGGGCATGGGCGTGACAGGCCATGCCTCGGGGCGCGATTGGCCAGCGGCCTGTGGTGCGGCGCGGCCCTTTGGAGCCCCGCCTCGCGCCGCCATTGGCTAAAAGAATCGCGGTAAGGTGGGGCGAGCGGGGAAAGAGCAGGTGACTCCTAGTAACGTTATTGGCCAGCAACATCGGGGGAGGGGTGTAGTTGGCGGAAAAGTTGAACGGCTGCTATTCCAGCGCCATTGGTCGGCAGCGGAGAGGCCTCTCTAGTGATGCCATTGGCCTGCACCGTGGGGGTGGGGCGGGGCGTAGGCCCTCCTAGAGTCGCCACTGGCCTGCAGGTGGTGTCCGCGCGCCCTCCGCGGAGAAGCGCGGGCGCGCGTGCTGGCGGCGTGCGGTGGCTCGTAGCTCCAACCATGCTAAGGTTTTCCGTCCTGGCGCAGGGAGGAGGGCGCCCGGCGAGGTGAGCCTTCTGCAGGTGAGAGAAGCACCAAGATAGTATTTCGGGTCGAGGGCTGCCGCACCTGGGGAATTTGCAAGACTGGAAGCCAAAGCCCTAGTTGGACCAGAGGAACCAGGCATTTCAACGAGGGCGGGTGAAAGAGTGGCATCCAGACTTGCATGTCCTTCCAAGTCTGCTGTGTCAGGACAGGGACTTCTGAACAAAGGGCCCAGTGAGGACTGGCCTGGTAGAAGCCAGACTCTTGTGAATATCCTGACACAGCGCTGCGCCTGGAGATAAGTCCGAATGCGGACCCAGAACCGGAGCTGAGATAAAATTAACAGACTCAAGGACGAACTGAGCAAATTATTAGAAAGTTGCTTGACCATCTTCAGAATGGCAACCCCTTCCCCTTTGAAAGTGCCGCTTGAAAACGGAAACCTTCCCCTAGACCCAAGGTCAGCAAACTTTTGAGATGGAAGAGCCACAATTTAACAATTATTCAAGAACCATGAGATCACCATTATCTGAATAATTCTCATTAAATTTTTTTTTCAATTTTACTTCAGAGCCACGTGCATACCAAAAGAGCCCCATATAGCTCAACCCCTGCCCTAGACAATGTCCCTTCTCAGCTATCCAGGAGAGGAATCCACTTTGCCCCAGAAAGAAGTATGATTTTTTAAAAATAATTTATTGGGGGCTCATACAACTCATCACAATCCATACATACATCAGTTGTGTAAAACACATTTGTACAATCGTTGCCTTCATCATAATCAAAACATTTTTCTCTCCACTTAAGTCCTTGGCAGCTGCTCATTTTTGCCACTCCCTCCCCGCTCCTCTTTCTCTCATGAACCCTTGATAATTTTTAAATTACTATTTTGTCATATCTTACACTGCCCGACCTCTCCCTGAAAGAAGTATAATTTATCAATGCTCTAGGACCTACAGTCTTGGTGTTATTCCCATCTCACAGAAAGACCTGTCTCGTTTCTTTTGAAGTGATTCTGTTTTAATATAATTGTGGCTTAACTCCCTGCTGCTGCTGCTGTGTGTGTGAAAGAGAGGTGTGTGTGTGTGTAAGAGAGAGAGATATCATCCCTTATCTCTGGACTCTTAAAAACACCACGGGTCTGGACATTGCTAATTACCCTATGGACAACAACCCATTCGCTATACTTCCCATGCTCTCGTTATTAACCAGATCCAATCCCTTCTGCACTTTTCTCTGGCATCTTGTAACACTTTAAGAGCTTCATATTTAGGGCGAAGGCCCACTAAGTAATTGTATTCCATCCGCCCAAGACAGTAACATGAGCCAAGAACTCATTCTTGTTTTGTATTTGTAGATGAATATTCATATAATTAGGAGATGGGGTGAAGGGCGAGAAGGCACGGGGTGTTACTGCCAAGGACTGGAGTGGGATGCAGAATGCACAGGCAACAGAAAGAGCACCCAGCCTTAGAGATCACATTTAAGTCCAGATAACCTCACTCTGCTTTTCTGGGGGCCTCTGCCAGGCACTGTCAGGGCACCAAGAGTCTGTGAAGTTTGGGTGTGAGGTCAATTAGAAAATGTAATTCAATAAATGTTAATCAGGCTCCTATTAATCAGATATCCCCCCTAATTTTGTAAAGCAAAAGGTATGGCAGTAACTTTAATTATCAGGCAGAAAAGGCCCTGAACAATTTATTACAGTGCTGTCATTGCAGAATGTCAAATAGTTTCATGTCATTTTAAAGAATCATTCAGTAAGAGGTGCCCTGGTGACACAGTGGGTTACATATTGGGCTATGCCCACAAGGTCAGGCTCACCACCTGCTCTGTGGAAGGAAGATGCGGTCACCTGCTCTGGGAAAGATTTTGTTGAGGAAACCCTCTGGAACCCTTCCATTCTGGCTGGCATATGGAGTCGATGTGACAGCAGTGGGTGGGTGCAGAAAGACAGAGCCCAGCCATGTTTTGTCTTTCCTGGTAGTGGCCTACGAATTCTTAGGGAGAAAAATGAGGGCCCATTGCCCAGTTGTGGGACAAACAGAACCAGATTTACTAAGGCCCTCTGTTGGTACAAGCAAAGGAAGAAGCTTCAAAATGCAGTGTGTGTGTCTCAAGGAAGAATGCATGTGAACTCAATACTATAGATAGGAAGTCAATGTCACATTACTTGTGAAATTAAAGCAGTATGTTCTTTTCAAAAGCATCTAGAGTATAGCAGAAATTGACTCAACAGCACAGCATAGGAAAGCCTCTTGCTCCTTCTTTGTCCTGAAACCTCACCTCACCTGGTATGTGTGCAAGAAGTCTGGGACAGCACTGTGCTCAGGCTCAGAATGGAGAAGGATAGTTTCCCATGATACCTCTAAGAGCTCCAACCTTCCATAAAGGGCTGTAAGTGGAAGTTCATCCACATAAATGAACGTCCCTGACTGTCCCAGGGCCATTCTGTCTCTGTTCGCAGGTCATCTAAGTGGTGCTTTGTTCTACCCCACCACTGCTGTCACCAGACAGGGCCTCCTGCCCAGGCAGGCTGTCTCCAGGTCACCTATGACAAAGGTGACCAACAAGAAGAGAACATATGATATGGAAAGTGTCAGCAAAAACCAGGCAGCCCCATAGTCTGCATGCCCCATAGGATTTTGATGACATTTACTGAGCAATCCCATCAGGAGAAAGGAAGAGCTTCCTTGAATGTGCTGCAACGATTCGGAGATGGTTCCTTCAGCAGAAACTGCCTGCCATGGGCAGCCCTGCGGCTATGTGAAATGCTGCTGGCAGGGCTTCCAGCATCACAGCCACACTCAAGCCACCCGAGCCCAGCACACTGGCAAGAGAGCTGTTAGCTGTGGGCTTTTGTTAGATACCCTGGATCAGGTGGAAGAAGTTCCCTTCCCATCCTAGTTTTCAACACAAATACATGCTGGATTTTAGCCAATTAACTTTATCGAATGATCTAATGAGAAACCATGTGTTTTTTCTTTTTAGTCTGTTAGCATGGTTTATCATAGGAAATGTCACACTAACTTAGCTTCCTGAGATGATGAACTGTACTTGTTCATTATTATGGAATGAATTGTAACACCAACCCCCAAGTATGTGCTGGAAATCCTAATCCCTGTGCCTTGTATTAGAACCCCACCTAGCAGTGGGGTTCATTATGTTGATAAGGCAGTATGAGTACAGGGTGTCATTTGTGATAGAAAAGAGATTAAGGGAACAGAGATGTGGTAGTTGCATAACCTGGTGTCACTTTGAGATTTAAGAGTGAAGGGTTAGAGTTTAGCCTGTCAATCAGGTCACAGCTCGATGACCTCATTTGGAAGGTATAAGGAAATAAATAGCTCACTGGAGGCAGGACACACACTCACTTCCTACTAGATATTCCTGCTGACAAGACACATGGAGCTATGCTAGAGTCCTGGAACTGGAGAAGCCACGTGGAGAACCATGCCAGCGCTGAGATGCTTACGCTACCACAGGATCTACAAGACTTTCTACCCACGGGGCTGTGATTGAAACCACTAACCACTCTCAAGAGAGATAGATGAGATTGTCTGCTCCCATAAAGATTGATGGGCTCAGAAGCCCACAGGGGCAGTTCTAGCCTGTCCCATAGGGTCACTATGAATTGTAATCCACTTGACAGCAGTGAGTTTGGGTGAATTTTTTTAAGTGGCAGGATTGTCTTCGATTTCTTTGATGTGGGGCTATACAAGCTATCTACTTTTTCTTGAGTGAGCTTTGGCAGTTGGTGGAAATTAAACTGTTTCATATAAGTTGGCATAAAGTTTTCACAATAATCCTTTATTATCATTTAAATGAATATAGAAGTTGTAAAAATACCCCTCCCTGCTCATGTTCATAATCTGTGTCTTTTTTTCTGATGAGTCTGGCTAGAGGTTTTTAAATTTATCAATATTCTCAAAGAACCAACTTTCGGTTTCACTGATTTGGTTTTGTCATTTCTTTGATGTCTTCCCTGATCTTTATTTTCTCCATTTCCTCCCATTGACTCTGGGTTTCATTTACCCTTTTCCCTCTACCCTTTTATCTGAAAGTGGAAACTGAAGTCATCGATTTGTGACTTTTCTTCTTTTCTTAATATAGGTATATGATGCTATGAACATCCCTCGAATTAGTGCTTCAGGTGTTAGGCATTATGTTTATTGTCAACATT